AATTGTTTTCTCCCCCATAGGAAAGCATGGAGCGGTCAGATTTTGACAGGTCCATTGGTTCCTATGGGCAAAAAAAAAAAATTAACCATAAATTAACGAAAAGTCAGATCAAAGCCAAATCAGGTTTGCACATGACTTAGGGGGTCCTCTAACGAATCCAAGCATTTAGAACCGTTTTTGACCCTTCTAAGACACTTTTTTAATTGAAAAAAAAAAAAATCAGTAAGTGAAGCAGGGGACCTAAAATCACATTCGTTATGCGAAGCATGGTCCCAAACTTCGCTAAGCGAAAATCGCCCATAGGAAACATCGTTATACGGTGCATATTATTTTCTAAAAAAACACATTGTTATGCGTATTCATCGCTAAATGAGGCAATCGTTAAGCGAGGCACCACTGTATTATACAAATACATTGCCATTAGGAATTTCATAATAATCATAGAAATAGTTTTGCTATTTAGCAACTATACTGGGTTGAAAATTAGCAGAACTTTCCTCCGTTAATCAATAGGTTATGCATTCTTAGTGTAAGAACCATGACTTAGTATTCATAGGGCCTCCACCATTCTTACCTTCCCTCTCAACTCCTATCTTTGATATTCCCTATAAAAGGAGCTTCTATAATTAGAAGGGCGATCCGCTTTTTTTTCTGTTTGAAAATCATAAACAGGAAGTAAACTCAATATTAGGTGCTGTTGTGGACTAAACATTAAATTCAGACAGGATAGTATTATTTATCATGTTTGTATTAAGGGTTAATGTTCTGGACCTACTGTCTACTCCAAAATAGATAAGAATTTGTTGTATCACTTCACAATGACCATTTGACTCCCTTTACAGGGTTGTAGAGTTGACAGGGGATGTAACTCCTGACATGAGGTCAATTGCCCAAGCTGACCTTATTGTTACTACTCCAGAGAAGTGGGATGGGGTCAGCCGAAGCTGGCAGAACAGAAGCTATGTTCAGAAAGTTTCCATTCTCATCATTGATGAGATCCATCTGCTAGGTGAGCATCATTTTTGCCATCATTATTGCTGGAATTGAAGTGTGCTCTGGCATTGCTAGCTGAACTTTAAAAAATATTGATGTTTGAGGGTTTTTTCCCCCTCTCTTTTCTTTTCTAGGGGATGAGAGAGGTCCTGTACTAGAAGTTATTGTGTCTCGTACTAACTTCATCTCATCTCACACAGAAAAGCCTGTCAGGGTGGTTGGTCTGTCAACTGCATTGGCTAATGCCAGGGATCTTGCTGATTGGCTAAATATAAATCAGGTATGTGTAAGACATTAGTGCTCTAGGCAGATGGAGTAGAGAATCGTCTTTATAATTATCAGACAGCACTTTTGGAGGATCGTAATATATATATATTGCTAGTATTGAACTGTGAGCAACTTGAGTAGTGTAACTGAGAGTTGTGACTTACTGTTCTGAATCAGACAGCAAAGTATATTAAACTCTTGCCCCATGTCCAGGCCTTGTATTGTATTGAAGAGTCACAAAATGTCAGAAATGTTTAAGATGAACATTTTTATTATTTTAGAAATAAATGCAGTCATTAACAGGAACAAATAAACAGTTTATGTTATCTTTTTAGATGGGGCTGTTCAACTTCAGGCCATCAGTGCGTCCAGTTCCATTGGAAGTACACATTCAAGGCTTTCCAGGCCAGCATTATTGTCCCCGAATGGCTAGCATGAACAAACCAGCATTTCAGGGTATGCACCCGTAGCTATAACTTTAATTTTAAGTCCATGGCAGACAAATGCTGCTCTTTATCTTGCTGATTTGCTTTAAGACAGATGACTTTTTACAATATTTTAATTTAGCTTCAGGCCTTGTATGTTAAAACTGCTAACACAATGTATGTCAGTGGAACTTATGCTTATTTAGAATAGTTGAAATTGGTTTTAACATCTGGCAGGATGAAAACATATTTGTATTTATATTTTATGATTTACAATGTTTAAACCCTTTCTCACTATTAATTCAGTAACAGGTAAGCTGTTTGTGGAAGCTTCTGAAAAAAATAGAAACAGGATTTGCATGTCTGATTTTAGGGCAATAACTATAAAATTCAGAATTTCCAGTGTATCCAGATATGTCCCTGTTTTCTGTTTTTTTATTCTTAAACTGGCAGGTAGAATCGATTTAAAAACTATGTTCATATTTTATTGAAAGATGTTCTGTGTAAGTTTCACAAGGAATATTTATTATATCAATTATAAAGAAGTCTCCAAATAAATTTTGTGATGTGGACTGCAGTTGATTGTAAGCCGACAGTTGTGAGGTGACTTTTTAACTGATCTAATTAGCCTTATGACAGAAGCAAAGTATTGATTGGGGACTGGAGACCAATCTTGGCAGTTCAGATTATTTACACCTCAAGAAGGCGCATTGTAGAAAAACACTAATGAACAATAAATCTGTCCAGAGCTGTTCTGCCACACCTGTTCCTGAAGCAACAAAAATTCATTAGCTGTCAAGCTTTCTTTAAGAAATAGATGTATTGATTTCTCTGTGAAGAAGATGCAACAATAGTATTGTCCTTTTGTCATATTCATGCATATATTCCCACTTACAAAGATGTGTTGTCATAGTTTACACTAAAATAATACCTGTCAATTAATAATAAATTGATAAGGCTACATAAATAAATCTGGTATGCTTAGCAAAGTATTCAAATTTTTAAAACATGTGTTGCGTCTGTTAATGACTGTACCTAAAACAGCAGCTTGAATCTGTTAACACCTGCTGACTGATCAACTTGCTGTAGCAATGTGATTTACAATGCAGCTTTCCTTTGCATTTGTTTGATATAGTCATTAATGTGTCAATATTTTTTTATTTTAATCTATTTCTCAGCCCATAAGAGTTTGCTGTAAACAGAAACTTTTCATATTCAGAAAGAAAATCCTTTAAAATACAATGGGCTTCTGCTTGATTTTACTGTTACAATGTGGGGTGAACTAACAATAAATAAATAAATAAATTGTGCCCAGGCCTTGCTATAATTATTCAGACTCTTTTAAATGTCTCTTTTACAGCAAATAGGTGTATCAGTTTAACTTGCTGGCACTTTCATGCAAATGAAGCCATGAATGTTGTAAAATGTTTGCATGGGGAAGTAGCTAGTTGAAGGAAAGGCATTTCGTTGTTTCTGACTTTTTATTTCTAACAGCTATTAGGAGTCATTCTCCAGCCAAGCCAGTTCTAATCTTTGTGTCATCCAGACGTCAAACTAGACTCACTGCATTAGAGTTAATTGCCTTTTTGGCAACTGAAGATGATCCAAAACAGTGGCTGAATATGGATGAAAGAGAGGTACAGTAAATCCATGCATTTTATATTAATTGAATCAGATAACTTTGATTGTTACTTGGTAGGCATATGGCATTAAAGGTGTGCTTTGCAAGGGTATTTTCTTATGCTTGGGTAGTATTTCCCCTTTCCTCTTTTTGAATTATTTAGATGCAGACATCCAGGTAGCTTGTTCCCGCTTAAATGTGATTAAGAGGTTGGGAGTGTACCTTAAGGTCACATACTTTTTCACCCCCATTCCCTTCCTTCTGAAATGTAAATTACTTTACCCTTGTCAGTGAACCTTAACCAAAGATAAGCACTAGATGAACAACTGTTTTAACTATCTTTAAAGCTAACCGGACTTCTGCCTTTAGAAGGGGTTGGAAGCCGCTCAGAGTGGTCGTATGACCAGATGAGCAGGATATAAATCAAATCAAAACAAAACAAAACAAAAAAACGAATGAATGAATGAATGAACGAACGAATCAATGAATGAATGAATGAATGAATTGGAACCAGAGTTTAAAGGTTGAAGGAAAGAGGGCAAGAAGAGGAGAAATTGCATTCTAGGAAGAAGAGGCTGAGGGAGGAGGGCGTAGGCTGTAAGAATATCAAAAGGCCTGCCATGTTCAGCATTATTTTCATACAGTAGCCAACTAGCTGCTTGTGGGAAGGCCACAAGCAGAACATAAAGGCTATAGTACTGCCTGTTGTATAATACATAGCTTTCGTGACTGTCAGCCTGGTTCAGGTTCCTAGTAAACTACAGTGCTGCACACAGGTCTGCGAGGACATAGCTGTCAGCACCAAGATCCTAAAATCTGTCTGTGACCGTGGAGCAATATCCTTGAGGTTGCCAGAGTTATGTTAAAGGGCACTGTTGTCCTTATTAGTTATTTCATGAACACTCAGGTGGGGGAAAATTTATTTAGATATGCCTCCTTCACACTGACCTAGTTTTCATGTGGCTTCTTTGAAGAATAAAAACCACTGTTATTCAGGAGGCATGTTCTAGAATCTTGTGAACAAGAAATTATGAAAGCTTAAATTCTAGGTTCTAATATCCATGTAACTTGCAACAAAAAGCTGCCATGTGACCTCATTCCATGTCAAAAAATGTTCCTGTTTAGGACCTCTATCCAGGAAGCCAGAACTGGAGTCCCAATGTCCATACTTTGTTGAAATCAGGAAGAAAGGAAGGAGAAGGGGCCTCTCCTGCCTTCTCTCACCCTTTCCACACTGTGGTGATAATGCTACAGGAGTTAAACTTCCCAATCCCAAAGGCAAACATTTTTAATTCTGTTTGGCAGGAGAGGGGGATATATTCTAGAAAGTGGAGATGAGCAGTAATGTGCGGCCCCCCCTTCTTTCTGAGAGTCTTGTATAATATAAGATGGGATGTAAATCTGTGCTTATTTCGTTCTTTTTCTAAATGAAGGTGATCCTGGGGGGGGGGGTTTACACAAAAATGTATTTTGCATTTACACAAAATACAGTTTTTTAAATGCAAAATACGCATTTTAAAATTGCAACATTTAAAATGCAAAATACAAGTTATTTACATAAACAGGGTTAGTCCTTCCTCCTTTCCTTGTTGTGACTCATGCTGCCACTGACAAAAAAGTGCTGTGGTATTGCATGTTTAATCCTATTAAATTAACAAACAGCAGTAAACTATCCAAGTAAAATGTGGAGTATACCATTCAGTATGATAAGAGACTTCAAGTGATGATGGATTGTCAAGGCAGCACTGCAGGTGATGTAGGTACTTAGCGTTTTAGCACATTCTTGCAGGAGAAACTGTTTTGGTAGGTTGTGTCATGCACTGAAGTGAGTTCCACTGAATCCAGTACAGTTCAATGCATGAACTATAATAATCATGTTCCATTAAGTCAATTCTGACATATGACAACCCTTTTCAGGGTTTTCTAGGCAGAGAGTATTCAGAAGTAGTTTAGCATTCCCTTCTTCTGGGGGTGCCCTGGGTCTCTCTGTGCAGTTTGCCCAAAGCCACACAGGGACTGTAGTGTGGCATACAGAAAGAGTGATTGGGTTCTCCCTAGTGCAGAACTCATGAAGAAAACATTTGATTTTGAACTGCAGATCAGTAAAGCAGTTCTACTGTATGCTCAGCATGAGCAGAAAATACCCTGAATTATCCAAATTTATTTTGAGAAATGAAGACACACTATTACTTCCTTTTTTTGTAATAGCTAAGGTGAAAGTTAAATTCCCAGTGTGGTATAGTGCAGTGGTCCTCAACCTTTTCTGAACCATGGACCGATTGGGGGGGGTGACCGGGTCCATGCACAGGGAGCAAGGCAACCCCCTGCTTGTGGGTGGGCATGGCATGCTCATGCGGTAGGCATGACGATCTCACGGGTGAGTGGGATGCACTTGTGCACATGCCGGGGTGAGCATGGTGTGCTCATGGGTGGCCGGGATGCACTCGCACGCATGCGCAGACGGGTGTGGTGCACTCACTGGTGGGCAGGGTGTGCTTGTGCA